CTCCCTGAGCCACCCCTCACCCTGTCTCTGCCGCCGCCGCCGGTCAGCTGGGGGAAGGTACGGGGAAGGGATTGTCCCTTCCATCCTCCCGAAGCCGGCATTTTCGCACAGCTCCGGAGGATGGGGAGGGGAATCCCTTCCCCCCGCATCCTCCCAAAGCCCGCATTTTCGCCCAGCTGATCGGGATGATGGGGGGGAGAGCGCTTCCCCGCGATCATCCAGAAGCCCTGCCAATCAGCTGCGCGAAAATGGGGCTTACGGGGAAAAATCGCAAAGCGATTTTCCCCCATTGAAAACATCGTTATGCGATCGCTTTTGCGATCACAAAATCTTCATCGGTATGTGGATTCATCATTAAACGGGGCACCCGTTAAGCGAGGCACCACTGTATTTGGGTTTTTATAATACTACAGATCCTATAATTCTGCATTCTGGGAGTTCCATCTGATGAACAGACACTTTACAGACACCTAAATATGGCGTATCTGTGAGAAAGGCTTAAACTAGAAAGCTTTGAGGCCTTTCTAGGCCCAGCTCCTTCTAGCTTCCTGTACAAAAAGAAGTCTCCTAGATAGCACTGGGAGAGGAAGAGGTAGTCTAAAAAATCCCATCCCTGGTTGCTGCTGAATTTACTGCTGGCAAGAACACCATTGGTATTAAACTAGGAGAAATATATGATTGGAATCTAGCCAATATGTGATGGATTTTTTTATGCCAATCACATTTTTGATAGCCGTAGCACTTCATCCACTGCATTTTGCTATTTGCTGATACATTATATGTTGATATTTCTGTGGGGAGAAGACAAATATGAACATTTAAATTTGATTAACATGGTATTTCAGTTGATGTATAGATATTGTTTGTGACCACAGTCTCCTGCAAATTGCTTATTTCACCTCGATCTTTCTTTGCTTTAAAGCTATCAGCTTTAGCTTTTATATCCTCCTTAAGCCATGAAGTGGAGTTTGAGGTGGTTTTCTTGGAATGTATTTCATTGGATGGATGAAGTTAAAATACACGATAGCTAGTAGCTGTAACCTTGGGTGATATCTTAAAGAGATAAGTGTTGACTTGAAATTCTTTGCTCAGCATTTGTGGAAACACTAAGCTTATTAATTTAGCAAAATACTTCTTACTGACAGTTACTGAAATACAACTATTTGCGGAGGAGAAGATGTATGTGAGTGCTATTTCTCTGTACCGACATTGAGAAACTCTTTGCTTTTTGGATTTTTTCCCCCCAAAACTTGCCCCTGGCTCTTGCTACTAAGCAATAAAAGAATATTGGTAGTGAGACTTTGAAAGAAAAACAGCTTGTTTTGAAAACTCTAGCAATTCACCCAAGTGCAGATTTGTTTTTAAATCTTATGTTGGGGGTGGGTAGATGTTCTTCACGGAATTTAGAATCCATAAGAAGATGCTGACTATGGCTGGCTTGTTATAGTAACTTCAGTGTTCAGCTGAGAAATATAAATCAGGTGACTTATTCAGCATTGAAGAGCTACTGACAATGTTTATGTTGTTGTTTCTGTGTTGCTGAGTAGAACCAGCAGCACAGTAGAGTGTATGTAGTTGATAGGGTTTCGTGCTATGGTTTGAGAGATGTAAGTTCTGATCCCCACTGCTGGGCTGACCTGAGGCCTATCTATATTCTGTGGTTGTTGGGAGGATAAAATAGGAACAATTAGAGGAGAGTCTTATGCTCACTAGAAAAAAAGCAAGAAGTGAATGTCTCATTCTCATTCTTATACATATACATAGAAAACATGGTAAGAAAAGGCTATAGGCAGCAGACACTCTTGCTTTCTAGTTGTATTTAAATTATGAGATGACCATTAAAATAATAAATACCCCTTTGTAGTTTAAATATTTGTCCTCATTACTGTGTTTTCCATAGCAAATCAGGACAAATGTTTAAAGTACAAAAGGGGCATTTTGTATTTTAATTGCCATATCATAATTTAAATGTCTAATGCTTAGGAGAGTTTCCACAGCAAAATGTTATCAGATGTATAGTGAAAAATGTGCAATGGAATTATGCCTGGGAATCCTGCTAGTTGTGTATCTTTGAGGTACTAAATTATGGCTTTCTTTTTTCTTTCCTTCTATTGGAGTGTTGTACAATTTAAAAAATTTGGGCATATAGGAAATGTAGATAAAATTAAAACCGAATTAAAATGTTAACGTACAGTAATTAGTTTTTGGTCAGAAGTAGAGTACGTTGGATAGCTTTATCTTGGCCATTTACTACATCTTTTGTAAATGTGGTAGGGCATAAATTTCATGCACATAAGTGCTGTACTCATTGAATTTCACAGAGAATTTGTCCTCTATCCAAGTAGTCCCATTTTACTTGATTAGTCTTTGATCTTCCTACTTTGCTTCAAAGTCTGTTAAGTGACTTCAAGATGGTGCAGCCAGAGTCTTGTCCTGGTGGAACACACTCTTCAGTGCTCACCCATTCAGAAAGGTGTATTGTTTTTGTTCGCCGTATGTTTAGCCTGGCCTCTTCTCTTTTAATATTTAGAGCTTGAGACATTTGTACATACAAACTGGTTTGCCTAAATATATCACATCTTTGATCCATTATTTCCAAGACCAGATCTTGGAAAGTTATGTTTTAAAAATGATTTGTTATATAATTTCTTCCTCTTCTTAGACCAAGAAATGGTTACTTTTAGCATATCAATAATGTTTTAATTTCTAGGTGGGTAACCATGGTAGTCTGTTGTAGTAAAACCAAGAAAGAGTTCTGTATCACCTCAAAGACTAACAAAATATATTTGCACAAGCTTTTGTGGACTGCACCCCACTTCACCAGATGTTTCAGTAATTTGTTGCCTCATGTTTCCTTTTTTATCTAAAAAAATGGAAAATAGAATTTTTAAATTTTATTTATTTTTGTGGGAGGAAGCACCTCAGAATACACCAAGGAAATCTTATAGCTCTTCTGGCCCCTAGGGAATAAATGTTACTTGTTACACACTATTTTTATCATTACAGTTTTGCATCAGGAAGGTTCTTCCACTGTTGTTATCCAGAAGTAACACATTAGAAGTAACATGTTGATTCCAAGCTCTGGAACAAGTGCTGGGACCATATTACCAACAGTGGCAAATCGCTATGGATTAAAGGCTCCCTTCGTAGATTTTGGAGTGCATACACAGCTTTGTCAACTTGCATACAAGTCATGTGCTTCCTAAAATCTTTTTCTTAGAAGTAAAACCCCTTTAATCAGTGGCAGTTGGCCACTGCTGCTGACACCATCACCATTGTGTATGTGGAGCTATGCGACAGGATTTTAGTCAAGATTTTCTATTCTTTAGGGTTGTTGTAAGACATATAATTCCACTTCCAACCCTTACTTGGTTTATAACTATTAAAGTGGTGATGACAATGGTAAGAGGAAGAGACTAAAAATAGTAAGGATATAATAAAGCTTTTAAAGATATACTGTAATACCTTCCCTACACACATAATGTCTTTGAAATGGGGCTGAGAGGCATGTGCTCTTTTTATAAAACAAAGAGTGTTGGAGAGAAAGCAAGCCTTAATTATTAGCCCTAAATAAACAGCAGCTCTCTGAGCCTGGCTGGCATCACAGCAGCTACAGATATTTACTTCGGTTCCAAACAGTTTGGTCTCTGTACTGCCAGAGGTAAAAAGGCAGGCTACTAAGGCAGAATGGAAGATGGGACCAGATGTCACTGAGCAGCTATTCTATGATCCTTAGGGGTGCTCTCAGTGAAAGTCTACTGAAAAGACACCCTGATTTATATATAATTAGTCTTTTAGGAGCACCATTCTGAGAGATAAGACATCTTGTGAGAGATATTCAAGAAATGTTTCTCCCTTTTCAGTAAGTCATAGTTGAATACATGCAGTCCAAAACCAAACCATGTTTAACTCTGAAAAAAATGAGTGTAATTAGTTTCCCTTCAAAATACTGTATTACACAGCCCACGGTAACAAGGGTGGAACCAAAATAATATGGAGTTTTTGATGGTATTGGAGAAAACATTGGAAAGGGCCTGATTCACCATTCAGCCTGAGAATGTAAACATAGAGTATCAAGAAGCTGTATGGCTTTGTAAAAAATATATGATTTGAATTGAAATGCATTGTTATTTGAAATATTTCATATACGTATACAATATCTGTTAAGAATATAGTCATGTTAAATATCTGTCTATTCCATGGGGAGCATTATTTCTGCTGTCGGATCCTAGCTTTAAATATTTGAAAGGATCAAAGCAGACAGCAAGGCATGTAAGAGATGAAACAATAGTAAAAATGTTGTCCTTTTACAGTTCCTCTTGAGTTTAATGATGATTTGTTCAGTTTATTGTTGTGGTCATCTGTTATGTCAAGAGAAGTAGAAAACTGAAATACAGTTTTGCCATCTGTGTAGAAAAAATGACTGAAAAAAATCAGACAAATTTTACCAAAAAAAAGTTTTAAATAATACACTCTATGTTGCTTTTGGTAAGCAGTGGCCACTTGCAGATGGCCAAGTCAATAAACTTTAGTTTTGGTTTTCTGCCTCTTAACTAATATATGTACATGAAGTTAAATAGTGTAACAGCATATTTTTACTAGTCACTTCTGTGATATTATTTGGAAGGACGCTCGTGGAAACAACCAGGAACCATCCAGTACTAGAGAAGCTGTTGGGATGAACCACAGATTATAGAATAGATACTGGAATTTCATGCAAAATCATCAAAAATTGTTTCTCAAAGTTGAATATCTCTTAGCCAAAGAAAAATAAGTTTCCTTCATTGCATTGTCTTGTTTATTTTTCCATAGTTGCATTAGGTCGTAATCAACCCCTGAAAAAAGAGAAACCAAAATGGAAAAGTGATTATCCGATGACAGATGGTCAGCTGCGCAGCAAGAGAGATGAATTTTGGGATACAGCACCTGCTTTTGAAGGCCGCAAAGAAATCTGGGATGCCCTGAAGGCTGCAGCACATGCATTTGAGAACAATGATCATGAACTGGCACAAGCTATAATTGATGGTGCAAGCATAACGTTACCCCATGGTAAGTATGTACCTAGTGGATGAGCTGTAGCCGTAGTGAGTGGGAAATTGATCTTACTTGGGTAATACATATGAATCTCTGCTGTTCACGAAGTTACAGGCAGGTGAAGGTAATGGGTGTGTTCAGATGTAACATTCTGAGAACTAACCATAGTGAACCTCTTCTAGCATAGCCCCTAGGAAGCAATCGAAGACTTCCTCTTTAAGGTAACTACAGTTCAGTGTTTGAAGTTTAAATGCCAGTTGAAATAAGCCAACTTCCCAAATCACAGTTTGAAGCCGGCTTCTTTCAACTAAGATTTATTATTAACTATAGTTTGTCTAGATTAGGATAAAATATCAAGTGGCAGTTAGTCTAAAATGGACAGAAAATTTCTAAAACCTCTCTTCTAGTAGCCATTCCAGGGAAGGAGGAATGAATGAGCCTATGGTTTGTTGCAGCTCAGTAACAGGAAACTATGGTTCAGTTTTACCTGTTAGTAAGTCATAGGACTGTTCACTTTTCCTACATTCCTGAGTTACTTGGCTGGTTCAAAGTCAACTAAAAATATTCTGCTGGAGAGTTCTGAGAAATATTCTGAATGGGCTTGAATTTAGAGTTAGCCAGGAATTGATTTAAGCATTTGAATTTTCCTCACATGTCACTTTGCATGAAATTCTTCATTTTATTTTTCTTCTTCCTTTTTGATATGATAGACAGCAGTTAGGTTCAGAAAATGTGCATAGGAAGTCTCTGCTTAAGATCCTGAAGAATGCTGAATTAAGAGAAAGCAAATAATTTTCTTTGTTTTAAATCCCTTAGCTGGCTGGGACTTCACAGCTGACATTGTATTTGTGCATTTCACTGCAAAAAGATAGCCTTTATGGCAATGCTAAGCATTAGAAATTATCTTGTACCATGAGTTCAGAATCACTGATATTTCTTGTCTGCATTCCTCTGTTTTATTTGGATTAATTTCTCAGTCTCAGAAACAACAGATTAGCTATCAGTCAAGCATTTTAACATGTTTCTCTTCAGTACAATATTGACTGTTGTTTCTAGGTCTTAATGTTTAACGTTTAGCTTCAACAAAATTGAACATGCTTTAGGGGAGTAACTGTTCAACATGTTTCTGGTTTGGGTGCAGATTTTTAAGAATTCCAAATAAAATGGATATTACTTTACATCTTGAAGGGCATAGGAGTTTATTTTGTGTTCCATTTACAAACTTATCTTCATATGGATTTATCATATAAAAGGGAGAAGAATGGACATCAAAAGCTGTTAGGTCAACCTTTCTTAACAATGGTGGCCAGAAGTAGTGATGTTTCATAAAAGTGCATATCTGTTAGTTTTGATTATGGTACTGCACTAACCATAAAATTCTTGTGTATGGCCAACAGCCTGTCACTTATAAATGCAGAAAATCTGATTTTAAAATTCTTGGCTGAGTTCTGGAGACGAAAAATAAACTGGGGCATAGGAGCCCTAGACAAGTAAGAAGTGACAACCAAAGGAATGAGTGGCCATAAACTGGTACTAAGCAGTGGGATATTTGGAGACCCAGTTGGCTGGAGAAGAGTTTAGTTTGACCTTTTGGCGCGGAAATGCCAAAGGTATGTGTAGGTGTTTGAGGAAGACTTCTGTCTTTCTCAAACACCTGGAGTGGAAAAATGGAGGAAGATACTGTACATGTAATTCCTGAAGTAAAGGTGTTTTGTTTGTTTTTTGGTGGTAACAGATTACTGAGGGTTTGAGTTAAAAGTGAAAATGTGACAGGTTTGTTTAATTTATATTTAGTTTTTCTCCCGAAAGAGATCTAAGGTAGCTTACAAAGAAATTTAAAACATAAGTAATTGAGCACTTAAAAATACGGTAAATCACAATATTTTTAAAAATAAAATATTAATCAATCATGTGAAGCAAAATCCCTTTGAAACAATTTAAACATACAGAATACAACTCCCCCATTAAAATAACTTCATAGCAGTAGTTTAATTATGAAAAGCCTACCTAAAAAGAATACTTTTCGTCACCTAGCAGAAGGCCAGGAGGGAGAAGGAGGTCTGACTTCCCATGGAAGAGAGTTCCACAGACTAGGATCAGCCACCAAAAAGCCCTCTCTCAGACATACCTGTGAGGGCAGAGGGACTGAGAGGCAGGCCTCCTTCAAAGATCTTAAATTCTGGGGAGACTGATGGGAAGATACAGTCCCTCATGTAGCCTGGACCCATGTCTTTTAGGGCTGTATAAGTAAAATCCATCACTTTGAATTGTGTCTGTAAACCAGCTGGTAGCAGTGAAGCTCTTATAATAAGGAATTTCTGTTCTGCTATTAACCAGCCCTGGTCTGGAATCTTGTACTGCTGGACCTGCTGAAGTTTCTGAATACTTTCCAAGGAATCCCTTGTACAGTAATCCAAAAGAGATGTAACTAACACAAGTGTCATTGTGGCTAGACATCTCAAGAAATGGACAAGGTGTCCTAGTTTTAATGGCAGATACACCCCTGACCATTTCTGAGACCTGGGCATCCAGGTTCAGGGTTGAATTCAGGAGCATGCCCAAGCTTCAAACCTATGTTTTTTCAAGGAGAGAGTAGCCCCATTCAGCACTGATGGAATCCTATTCCCTGATCTGCCTTTTGACTGACTAGGAGCACCTCGTATCTTGTCTGGATTAAGCGTCAGATAATTTGTCCTCATCCAATCCATTACTGACACCAGATAGTAATGGATTTGATTTAGGACCAAAGCAGATGGAAAGCAGAAACAGAGTTGGATGCCATCCACCCGCTGAACCCTAAAACACTGGACAAGTTCTCTCTGTGGTTTCATGTATATGTTTATTAGTATGGGGGACAGAAGAAAGCCCTGTGGGACCTCATAGAGTAGACCAAAGCATCAAACAGGAGCCCTCCAGCACCACTTTCTAAGCCCACCTGCTGGCCTCAGGACCAGAACCACTGCAACACAGTATTTCCAGGTCCTACCCCCGAGAGAGACAACCAAGGAGGTTGTTGTAGTGGATGGTGCTGAAAGCTGCTGAGAGGTCTAGAAGAACCAACGGGGCCATGGACCCCAAACCACTTCCTGACACAGATCATCTACTGAGGTGACCAAAGCTGTCTCCATCCCACAGCCAGGCCAGATTGAAATGACTATAGGTAATGTACTTTACTCAGGAATCTCTGAAGTGGAGAAACTACCACATGCTCCAGAAGCTTGTCCAGAAATAAACTATTTAAAATTGGCTGTTAATTATCCAGTACAGCAGGATTCAGGGAGGGTTTTTTCAATAAAGATTGAATAACTGTCTTTTAGGCAAGCTAGAACACTGACTATTCTAAGAAAACATCTACCACTCCTCTGCTCAGCCAGTCCTTTACCTTCTGCTTTCATGAGCCAGGAAGCAGCAGGTAGCTTTCATCTCTCTGAAGATCACATCCACATCCTCAAGCTGTACAAGCTAGGAATTATCAATTAACACAGGACAAGCAGAGGCCAAAGTTGTGTCAGTGGGACCTGTGTCAACTATGGTGTCCATGTCAGAGCAGATCTGAGCAGGTTTTTTTTTAAGTAAAGGAAATTTATTTGTGTATAGCTGTAGTCATTACGAAAAAAAGTTTGAAAAGGATAAAATATCAAATATAGTATAGGAATAAAACCATCTAAAAACAACATTATGTGAAAGAGTTCAACCCTCAGTTAAAATATGATCATTATAACTACAAAACTTATTTCTTAAAATTGTTAAGCTTTAAAAAGTAAAGCCTTTCCAGAAATGTATGGCATCTTATCCCCCAATAGAAAATTTATCAAATATGCACCAGATCTATCAAATATGAGACCTAACTCTCGGAACAAAGCTACTTTCTGATCTTTATAAATTGGGCAGTTAATTAAATACAGTGGTGCCTCACTTAACAAGCGCACCATTTAACGATGAATCCGCATAGCGATCTGTTTTTTCAGATCGCTAATGCGATCGCATTGCGATGTTTTCAATGGCAAAACATCGCATTGCGATGATCGGTAAGCGTTTCACTTATTTATTTATTTATTTATTTATTTTATTTTATTTTATTTTATTACCTTAGGAGAGGTCTTTGCATTGTGATGTTTTTTTAAACAGCTGATCGGCGGTACCAAAATGGCCGCCGGACGCCCAAAATGGCTGCCGCAACCATTTTCGCGCCCTGCCCTCGCTTACCGAGGGCGCGAAAATGGTGGCGCTATGGAGAAACTTCGCTGAACTGTGAGTTTGGGGCCCCATAGTTGTTTGATCCGTTTAGCGATGTTTTTGCATAGCGACGATTAATCCAGAACGGATTAACATCACTATGCAGGGCACCACTGTAGTGGGTTAGATCTTCAACTGCATTGGTTCCACATGGGCAAACTCTTTCCTCCAAAGGAATCCGTTGATAACGTCCTTCGACCACTGCAGAACTCATAGACTGGCAACGTAATGCTATAAAAGCGTTTCTCTATTTAAAATGTGATATATTAGTTAAATACTGAGGGCGAGGTGTTTGAATAGGTAACTTAGCATACCAGGGTGCACATTTTTACAGACAGGCAGAAATACTGTCAGGTCAAAAATCATATTTTAAAATATGGGACTCCAAGTATTGTGCTACCATTTCTAAATTAAAAACATTTAAGAGATCACGAGAAAGACCATACATATCGATAATTTGTAAAATTTCCTGATTCCAAGATAAAATTGTCCTATTGTTAAAATTTAGCATCTCTTTAAAAGCAGCCAGTACTAGATCCGATCCGATCCCCTTTTTCAGTTTCAGCCAGAATTTAATAACATGGGTGTGTACTATAGCCTTCGCAGTGCTAAGGCCATCTGAGCAGTTAGATCAGGAAAGTGTTGAGTAATTTCTTCACAGCAAGCTGATGAGATATCCATATTTTTTTTAGACCACAGCGTAACAAGCCTTTGACCACTTAAGACAGTTGTGCTAGATGTACAACTCTGTGCAGATGGAGTGGTGGCAGAAAAGCCAC